TAATTCTTCCATGCAATAAGTTTTTGTCAACATATTTACCTGATGTGATTGTCAAGAATTTTGACAGAAGATTTATTTCAGTCAGTTTTATTCATCGTTTACACTGACTTATTCACTATATATGTTATGAGTAGTCTACACTAGTCTTCCTTTTCACACCTTTAATAAACGAAGACAATATTATGAGGAGCTTAAGTGTTTCCTGCATTCTGTCGTACTGATGGAAAGGTTTCACTGATTTTACCGCCTAACCTGATGCCTTTGATAGTCCAATACTTAGTCATATAACAGTGCCTCAGTTCATGCACGTCACTACGTAGATGATGAGGCATCTGGTCACTCCAATTTTAAAAGCCTTACCTAATTAAGGTTAGCTCAGCATCACCTGGGGATTGGCTCGCTTCCACTAAGGCGCGGATACAACAAAATGGTGTACACAACAGACCCCAAAGTACCAGGTAACTCCATAGCTGGGACGGCATCGAGTGCCCAGACTGGGTAATCCAACTAAGGTCAGAAATGCCCCCCACTCATCACTCTACAACTATCAGCCATCCTCCCACTGCTTGAGCAGACAAGTGACCAGATTCAAGAGTCAATCGGAGACTGCTTCCGAAAACCTATTCCTCAGTCAGTAAGGATAATAAAAGCTTCATTGCTTTGAGCATTCGAAAACGACCGCTAGCGAATTTGCAAGGGTAGCCCTCGTCACTAACCTGCAAACTATACCAGAGATATGAGGAAGCATGCCGGCCAACTCGGTCCTACTCGTAGTAGGTCAGCATCATACCTTGTATGCATTTCTTCATTCTCTTGTCCCTCAGCGAAGCGCATTATTCATGCATCCGACGAAGCAGATTAGGTACTCCAGAGTACCTGTAAGTATCTAAGTAGCTCCGGCGTTACCCTCGCTAATTTAGTTTTCCTCACTTCAAAATCCTAGCACTGAATGGATAGACGGTGAGTTGGTTCTCAGGTTGATAGCTGCTTGTCAGCTGAGCCAGCGTCGTCCAGCTAAGCTCGAAGTATCAAAGTCACTGATCACTCCTTACAAACTTGCAACTGAATACGTAGATGAAAAGGAAATGCTCCTTGTTATTCCAGAAAGCTTTTGATTGGTGAAATATGAATACTGCTTCAGTACTTTCCCTTTCTGTTGTTACCATTTAGTATATTTCGACTGAATATGAACAGATATGATGACTATGATTTACACTCATTGGCAGGCTATCGAATGACCCTAGTAGGACAGGAGTTTTGAAACAATAACTAACGGTGAATGCATAACTTGATACATTTTTCCAAATTACAATCCTTTATTTCTCTAACCAAGTACATAGATAGCACACATACCCAAATGAAGTCCCAGTGTTACAGAAAACAGGGTGTAATTTTCCTGGATGTATTTAAAGTGGTCATTAAAACCGGACGCAATGTTAACTACACATCCATAAAGCCAATCAAAACAGAAGTTGATGATATACTGATGTTGGTGACTAGCAGAGGAATCCAGGATGGGAGTTTTGTCCTACTTAGGAGTCGTCAGCTGGATGTACCTACACCCCAGTAAGTGCTGTTGTTCCCACTAAGACTTGGACCCAGTATCTATCGCTTCAAACGCCACAGCGTTAATAGTTGGTGGGGATAGGTTGATACTGCTGTGTGGCCATAGCGACTGAAGTTGCTTTAATCTCATTGGGTCCTTAGTTTTAAAAACATAGCAACCTAAGGTGGATTCAAAACTAAGTAAAATGAACTTTTTTAATACACTTAGGCATAACCATATGTTATACAGAGGCTAGATTTAAAGCAATTTAATTGTCATGAAATTGAACTAGTCTCGCAGTCACCAGCTGAAGATATATCTTCATGAAATGAACATTGAGCATTACGTCTGTCAGATTTATCCAACAATATCTTCCTGGTATTGCAACTTTGTCATTTTCGCAGCACACTCTACCAGTTGTCTACCACATATCAAGGTATAGGATACAAACGTTGTTCACCGAGATCAAGCATCTGAGTAACATTCATCAGCTGCTACTCTACTATTTGGGGTTGTTTCTAGTTAAATGGATAGTGGTAGTCTGACATTAGAACCAAGAGCAGTGCGTAGAAAATAGGTAAATCTTATTATTTCGGTAAACTTGCACACTACCCCCCTATGGTCGCTAAAGCTGTAGAGAAAAAGCATTCTGAGTCTTGAAGCATCTAACTTACTCGTATACGTGTTCAACATTTTTAAACTTGCTTTAGTAAACATTCAGACTGTAAAATTTCTTATCAGTTTATCATTGTTCCTTGTCTAGTTGACAACATTTACGTGTCTCATGTGAAGTTTAATCCCAATAGTACGTGACTGAGAAAAACTCACTTAGGCAATATTAATAAATAAATATATACTGGGTGATGACTGAAGGTGAAATGAAAATCTGGACCGCGGCCGGATTCTAGCTAGCGACCACCTGGTGATCGTGTTAACCATGCAACCACTGAGTCGGAGTTCAATGGTCCACAGTTTCCTACTTCTGTCAGTTCACACGATGTAGTGCGATTACCACCCAAGTTCTTCAGTTGGTACTCTCTTCACTCCAGATGTGCTGATCTCATAGGTCACAACTTTTCATTAGAACATCGAAACATGTCAGTTATGAGCACTCTACTGTAATGTCTATAAATGTATCAAGACGTCATACCACAGAAGTACTTTGTTGTAAATCACCCAAAATTTTCTGAGGTTAGTCATCATTTCGGTAGCTTGGTGATGTAGAGTCCGATTTTCCAAGTGTCTGATTCTATGAAGGAAACTGAGTCTCCTAAACTGGATGGATATGTCTCACTGATAAGCAGTAACAAGTACAGAATCGACTGATTCTTAAAGCCAAACAACTTTTAACCCACTATCAGTTTATTTGATTTCAGTATCTGTGTACTTAAAATGGTTGTGTATTTATGTATTTTTCATCGCGATCATAACTCATAATCTGAAGATAATTTGACCCATGTCTGTACAGAGTTATCTGATCGAACTGCGTTTATTAAATTACTCACTAAACTGTTAGATAAACTAAGAATATTTCAAGTTAGTATCCAAAGTGGATTCTCATCCGTTTGAGAATGATTGAAGCGGTGGACGGCTGTTTCACCCTAGGATGAAGTAAACTAGCAGCAATTACCCAAAACCTCAAGGGGGAACCAAGCTAAGGAAAATCACATTTCTCAGCGAATACTTTGCTATTCAACCACTCCTGTCAATTAACGAAATAGCATTATCATGGTTGCTGGTAGACCCTATGGTCCTGTATTTTAGCCTTCATAGCATGATTAAAATCAACTACACAAAGAGCTAGCTTGTGATAATAGTGGTGAATAGAGGCTAGTAGTGGAATCTACAATATGCATTTCGTCTGATGTGGGAATCGTCAGTTGGATGTATTTGCATCCCAATGAGTGATTTTGTTCCCACTGAAACTTCAGCCCAGCCCCCATTGCTTTAAACTCCAAAGAGTTATTTACTAGGGTTACGAGTGTATCCATTGGACGAGTCCCACACAAAATGAAATGCCTGATGTGGATTCCACTCCTAGCTGATATCCACCATTATGATCATAATGAAATTATATTCTACAGGATGCATGCATTCAGGAGTTGAGGAGAATTCAAGAGATGTATGCAAGCTAATTCTGCTGCTATTATTTTTATTGTTTTTACCAAAGTTCGTGAATGAGGAGAATTCTGTCAAAATTCTCTTCAGTTGAACATCAAATTGGTGAGTTATTCATTTCATTCTTCTTGACACATCGCTTCTTATACACATGTTTTGTTTGGATAAAGGATAACTGTACTGGTTCTTGATCGTCTCCTCATTGTCCACACAAAAGGAGATGCTCCTCGCATTTATCTTCTTAATCAGATGAAGCTGAATGCATCCTGCGTAAACACCAGCAGTGAATCTATTACCGTGGCCATCCTAGTGAATATCACACTGAACTGTGAAATCACAGCTAATCGATCTAAATATTAATGAGAACATTATGAAACCAGCTGATGAGTCCCCTCAATGCGGAAAATGCTTCCATGAAAGAGACAACTAAATTTTGTGAAAATGTGAATGCATGACTGCATGAGACTTGAATGTGTGCTTCTTGCAGTTCCTTTTAGTGTATTTTTAGCTGAATAACTTGTCTTCTAATTGAAACACATTCCAACCATAATATATTTTCTCAAACAACAGTCTTATCAGGGTTCTCTCTCTTTTTTTCGTTATTGAATATATTCTTATCTGTTCCAGATGTGATACACTGTGCAAACATGTTGCTATTCATCTGTTACACAGAAGGTGACGAAAAGCTAAAACAACTACTTTTAGCTACTAGTTAAACATAAATTGATACATTAGCGCACCTGACAGTGGACACAGACTCGAATCCAAGAAGTTATGATTGTACTGTCCATGATCCAGTGATCATTTAAGCTTGACCACTGTCGTTTTGTCTAACTCTAAGTGTTAACTAAACAGACTATAGTTAATCGCAGTGAGTGCTTTGAGAAGCACCTTGTATTATGAATTTAGTGAAGTTATAAAATGCTAGTCACCAGATTTCAATCCAAGGATTCTATCACAATATGGCTACCAATAAGAAGAGTTCAAAGTCAGTCACTGACGTACACTTATGCTGTCAGACACCATAATCGTAAAAATATTCCATGAGTAAAATCAATGTTTGAAAAATTTTCAGTCTCGGGGGAGAAGAATACAACTGAGTATGACCCAGACTCAGCATCCCAATACCGTTCCTTCAGAGCGGAAGGAAGCTTAGACCGCAAACTGTGACTTACCCAACCACTGGGTGACGTACCTATGTCGTAACTGCACATATGAATCCCTATAACATGCTGTCACCTGAATATCCCATGACTTCTTGTAGTTTTTCGTGTTACTACAACACTTAAAAAGCAAACATCAAATATTTGTTCATAAACTGCACTTGTTGACTCACCTTTAATAACCTTGACGCAATCGGTATTCGGTGGATAATTGTCAGGATATAATGGACTAGTGAACGTGAATAGAGTTGGCTGTCGACTGCGTAATGCACTTTTCAAACGTTTATTATAATCAAAAGGATGTTGTCTGTCTGGTTTCGGTAATTGCATTAGTCCACTTAAGCCAATATGATCAAATTCCACAGCATTAATCCAGCTCGTTGGTTTATGACGATCCCAAAGCTGAGCGTTTGCTGTTGATGAGGCTGACGATGCTGAAGAGGCAGAAGAGCTGGTTGCCGCTACCGCCACTGATGCTGCCGCAGTAGTAGGTGAAGGTGACAGGGAGCCAGACAGAGACAAAGATCTACGATCTTCTTTGGGATCATCCAAATAAAATGAATTTATAAATTGATCACAGACAGCCGATTGGTTAGGAAGACGATATAAGGACCAAAAATCCATTTCAACCATTGGACCGATTACTAATTTAACCGGTTTATTGGAGTCACTATCACACTGGCCATGACTGATGATCAAAACTAGAAGTTAATAGAAAAGAAAGTAATACATCTTGAAAGCAATAAATTTCATAAAATCTTCTAGCATCTGACACGACGACTAATCAACCTATCCTACATGGACTATAACGGACAGCTATTTGGTGCAAGTGATACGAAAACTCAGGTTTTCTTTGGGATTTAATGTAACTGGTAAGTGATTTGAAAGAAGACTAACTGGGAGTTGTAATGTGAGAATTTACAGTTAATAGTATAGTTTTCAGCAATGGAGACTTGTATGCCACAGAAGTAAAAAGTAGTTAGGTAAAAATAACCTCATTATTGATAGATAGTGGGTAGCAGTGGAATCTAGGACGCGCGTTTCGCCCTACTCGGGACTCGTCAGCTGGATGTATCTGCCTCCCGGAGTGCGATGTTGTCCCCACCAAGACTCGAATCTGGGACCGGTCGCTCAAAACGCCAGAGCGCTACCCACTAAACCATAGAGTCACTGTAGTCACTTCTTAAGGTGCGGCTAGAGTTTTTATTTTATTACTTGTAATTGGACCAAACTGATAGATCTCCACTGGCATATGGAATCCTACCAGGATGCTTTAATGTTGACTCTATGTCAGTTTAACAATAATATCGAGGCATCCGCGCATAAGCCTATAGCCCAGTTGACCATATTGCTGTCTAGATCATGTGAAGATACCCATTGTCTCTGAGATTCATCCCAACTGATTGAAATACTTCACATTTTCGATTAAAGATGCGTGCTCGTATATGAACTACTTTACTGCTTGAAGCAGCAAGATGAATAGACAATGGTCTTCTGAAACATGGAATGTCATTCCTTTTGTATCGAGTGAGAAGAAATGTAAATTCAAGTTTTATGCACAAGTGGATAGATGTGTTACTGACATGCATCTATCCAGTGATCAGAGGCCGAATGTTAACAAGTGTTGATAAAAAATATCAATGAACAATAAAAAGTAATTGTTATTTATTTTTGAGATGAACGGTGATTTTAATTTAGAGTTAGTATTCATCAAGGACTGACATCAGTCGGGGAGCCACTGGAAACCTGGAAGCACTGGACAGCCGTTTCGTCCTAGTAGGAGACTCCTCAACAGTACGCACCTGCAGCTTAGCCAGGGACCGAACTCAGGACCTTCAGGTTTCATGGCGAACGACTTAACGATTCAGCTATACTAGGACGAAACTGCTCCCAGGTTTTCAATGGTTGTCTAACTGATGTCAGTCCATGATGAATACTACCTCTAAATAATTGTTACTGTTTTACCATATATTAAATTCATGTGTGGGAAAGATATTCGCAAGTAGAATAAGTGGCCGTACATGGAAAAAGCCAGTTATCGATGGGTAAGGTTTAGGGTGACCAAATTACTACAATAGACCACTATCTAGTGCAAAGAACCTTCAAAATCGAGTTGAACACTTTCAGAGAAGTTGGTGATAGACCACAGATCAAGTTCAACACCCACAACAGAGGTGAACTGAAGGACAAAACCACAAGGGACATCTTCACATCAGCCATCAAGACAAAATGGGAGATATCGAGGAACATCCCTGAAGAAACCTGTGTGGAAGAACACTGGAGGTCTTGGAAAGAGATGTGGAGAGAAACCTGCATAACCGTATTAGGAAGGAAGAAGAAAGAAGACAAGGAATGGATCTCGACGGATACATGGAAGCTGATAGGATAGGGAGAGGAGGATGGTGAAACAGAAGATAAACCAGTGCAAAGATGCACAACGAGAAGAGGAACTGAGTACAATGTATAAAACACTGGTCAAAGAAGTGAAGAAGAGTGCGCGGAAAGACAAAAGACACTTCTACGAAACACTGGCAAGTGAAGCAGAACAGGCTGCAGGCAGGAGAGACAGAGACCTGATAACATTGTATCAAATAACCAGGTTACTATCCGGGAGGGGAGAGATCAACGCAGACGAAACCAATAAAAGATGATGAAGGAGATATAATTACGAAAGAAGAGAAACAAAGGAGAGGATGGGCCGACCACTTCAAGAAGCTCTTGAATCGACCACCACCACCACCTGCACTTCGTCCAGAAATACCACCTGCAGCCCAGCCACAGAACTACAAGTGAACACAAATCCTCCAACAAAAATGGAAGTCCTGAACGCCATGGAGCAACTGAAGTGTAGGAAAGTGGCAGGAGCTGATGGAATCTCGCCAGAAGCGCTGAGAACAGACGCATAGACAACAGTGGACATGCTCACACAACTATTGCAGAAGGTGTGGAAGGAAGAGAAGGTACCTGGCTAGTGATTGGAAGAAGAGTTACCTTGTCAAACTCCCAAAGAAAGGCGACCTAAGTGTTTGCAAGAAGTGGCGCGAAACCACGCTCCTGTCCGCCCCAAGCAAAATGTTATGCCGCATCATCCTGGAGAGACCAACAGTGCGCTGGATTCAAAACTACGACCGAACAGGCTGGCTAGCTGGATTCAGGAAGTACAAATCATGTGCGGACCAAATTGCAACGCTACACTTCACATCATCATAGGACAGAGTATAGAATGGCAGTCAACCCTCTACCTCAACTTCATCGACTTTCAGGAGGCCTTTGACAGCGTCGACCGACAAGTATCTTGTCAGGCAGCTGCTTCAATACTACGGAATACCGCAAACCTCTATCAGCCTCATTCAACAACTACATGAAGACGCCACATACCAAGTTATTCACAATGGGAAGCTCAGTGAAGACAGGAGTGAAACAAGGTTGCCTACTATCCCCCATGATATTCCTGATTGTGGTTGACTCGGCTGGACTGGATCATACAACAAACTGTGAGAAGCGAGATGAGAGGGACACGCTGGACTGCGGAAAAGAATCTAGAAGACTTGGATTTCGCCAATGGCTTGTGTCTAATGTCGCACAAACTTGAAGATCTACAGGCGAAAACTAACAAGTTGACAGAAGAGGCAGGGTAGCGAAGACAGGACTTCAAGTGAACGTGGAGAAGACAGAGGTGATAAAGATACCCAACCAACGCCAACGCCAACAACACAACAACAACAACAACAATAAGCACCAATCACCATCAACGGGAGAAACTTGAAGGAAGTAGCCTCCTTCACCTATCTATGCAGCATCGTTTCAACGACAGGCGGCGGCACAGACGAAGATGTCAAAACCAGGATCGGAAAAGCAAGACAGGCTTTCATTAATCTGAAATCAGTGTGGAGATCTACTGCACTCAGCATGTGGAACAAGATCCGCATTTTCAACGCCAATCTCAAGTCAGTGCTTCTATGTGATGGTTTACAAACTTGGCGTGTCACGAAAAGCACTTCCAACAAACTGCAGACATTCATCAACAACTGCCTGCGCTCGATACTGAAGCTCAGATGGTCAGAGAGAATAAGCAACAAGGAACTCACTCTGGCAACGAACCAACCAAGAACCCATCGCCTAACAAATATGCAGAAGGAAGTGGAGATGGATTGGGCATGCGCTGAGAAGACCGTTCGGAGACATCACGCGCCAGGCACTCGAGTGGAATCCAGATAGGAAACGGCGAGTTGGGCGTCTGAGGCGAGGGTGACATGGAGGAGATCATGTGAGGAAGAAATGAAAGCTCACGGGGAGTGATGGAGTCAGGTTGAAAAGATTGCAGAGAAGAGAGTGGAATGGAGAGGTGCTACTGAAGCCCTATGTTCCACTATGAATCCAATGGGCAAATAATAATGTGATAATAATAAAATTACTACACTCGTTTGCTACCCATTCTCCAATGGAATGCAGCTTCGTCCTTCGAAAATAAGTTTTAAAATAAAACTATTCATTTTTATCATTTTATCAATAAAAATATGCTGATTTCGCATATTACAGAACAACTTGGTCACTTCATTCCTTCAGAGTTGAACTCATCATTGGTTTACCCCGAAGAATTCAGTTCATATCACCGAATTAGTTCAGATGCTCTGAATCTGTCTACTTAACTTATTTGGACCGGTATACCTAAAATAGAATTATGAATTTGAAAATGACTTACAAATCGAATGGTCCACTTTAATATTCCTCACAGCTGGTTAGTTTTGCAAGTGCGCAACTGTGGCAATAACACAATGGATTTGAAACCATCCCGTTAACCAAGATCACAAGATAACATAAGTGAAAAACTTGGGCACTGTGGTAGAATGTAGTTCCATATTAGATTTGTTTATTTGATATAAAGCGCACAGTGATACAGTATTATTTACTTGATTACGTTTCGAGCATAAATTATTGCTCATAATCATATCAATGTAATCACACTTCTTTCGACATCTGATTTTATAGTCCTGTCACCTGATCTCTCTTTGTTTTTTTGTTTTTTGATTGGTAGTAAAGTTTTCCATATCTCTGGTATAGGTGTTGCGTCATTCCTATTACATGTGTTGGGTGTGAATTCGATGAACAAAGATTCAGTAATTAATCTCTCTCTCCACCTAGCTATATTAGACTTAAGTACAGTGGTTTTGTCCCATCCTATTGTGTGGTTGTGTGTTAATGAATGTAATGCAATGGCTGAGTGTTTTTCTAGGTTATTGATCTTATTGGGGTCTGTCGTTCTATGTTTAGCTAAATTCCTATGTTCTGTTAATCTAACTGACCCCGACCGGCTAGTTTGACCTATGTATTTGACTTCACAGTCATTACATGGAATTTGGTAGATTATATTATTTTGCTTAATTGGTTCTATCGGATCTTTTAGCCGACAAAGCTTACCTCTAAGTGAGTTTGTTGGTTTAAATGCCACCCTAATTCCAACCTTGTTGAGAATCCTACGTATGGTTTCTGATGTTCCTTCCTTGTATGGTATCACAATAGAGGTGCTGATTTCCTTTCTACTTATGTTGTCACTATTATTTGTATTTGTATTAGTGTTATTATTTTGCTTCTTATGCGTCCGTGTGAATTTCTTAATAAAATGATGGGGATAATTATTAGTTATTAACGCTTCTTTTATGTGTTTCAATTCCTTATTTAAGTCCTTACAATGACTAGTGAG